AGGAGTCCAGTGTAGCGTTTGTCCCAACCAACTGCCTCACTCACTCGCTTACTTGCTTGCCCGTGCTAATTCACTTCTTATCAGGCCAGACTAATTAGGGCTAGCCCGTTTTCCGGGAAGTCAATGTTTAATTGTGTAGTTTCATTCAAGCAGCGAGGTTAAAGTAAGACCTGTTGCTTTTATAAGCCGAAACTATAATCCAACGTAATTAAAGGCTGGCTGTTGTCAACGTAGGATGAATTAAGGATGAAATAGTTTGAAGTTTTCTAGGTTATTTAGATCAAAAAGCCGAAATCTCGTCACCAAATAGCGCGTTCTTAGCCAAACAGATCCCGTTCTTATTTTTGAAACTCTTAATAAGCGGATTTACCTACTAATCTAACATCGATTATGCGTCGAAACCTTCCAAACTAGTTTAATTGTGTGCGCATACGCTACATGAATCACTTGCTATGACCATCAGACAGCTTGCGTGGAATGGCCTTGTTCAAATGACTTAATCGATCACCGTAGATGTGATGGTCGATCGTCTGATTTCTCTGTAACAAGGCTAAATTCAACCATCTTCCGGAATGCAGAATTTGCTTCTGATGCAAACAGATGACCACACGGAATGCTAGCTCGAATTGCTACAGCCGCCTGGGTTTTGGTAGTTCGTTGTCTTGACAACACATTGGACGCTGGGGCATGGAGAGACTTGTCTGATCGTCCCCTGAAACCCCAAAGGAATAACCAAATCCATCAATGAGACTGATCACAGACACGGCAGGATAATGACACACCTGAAACCTAAGAAGTCTTTAAAACCCCTTATTATCCTTCGGGTGTTTTCCATGGATGCAATTATATGTTCTGCATGAATTTCGAGTTCTACGTGAATAATTAGGGTGTGAGTCATAGTCAATGACCTTCAATATTAATAAATCGATACGCTGCACACATCCAACCAGCAAGTAGTAAGAAGCAGACTGTCTTGTTTACGTCTAACCCAAACACGCCAACTGTTATTGGTGCAAAGCCTGGAAAGAAATTATTTGAGAGAGGTAATCATTTTAGCCTTAAAAGGGACCATATGTGGACGATAAAGAGCGATTACAGCAGCCCCATTCTTTTGTTTCCCTCCTACCTCTGTAATGGGCTTTGAACTAAAATTAACCAATCGAATTGAAAATCAAATAAAAAACGCTGGTTAGATGTTCAAGAATCGGTAGATAACAGAAGTAGGTAATTTTGATGCAGTAACCCTTTGAAAGTAGCCCAACTGTCAATTTGTATCGAATAATCATAATCGGAAACATTTTGTGCATCAATAATTAATCAGCAAACGCTTCGCCTTCCAACAAACAGCGCCTTTTGTGTTCACCACTGAAATGGTGAGCCATTAAATGCAGTGGAACCCCACGACTTCTCTTCAAATTGCCGTCTTGGAGTCGAACGATGATTTCTCGATCCTCCTTGTCATTAACAGAACGTCCCCACCAAATGGGTTCTACTTTGGTTTCAAGGATTGGGATTAACCTCCGTGCATCGAACTTGTGCATTCAGAAGAACCTACCATTCTAAAGACCTACCATGCATCACCGATTGCTCTGTTTTAAATTATTATATGCTTCTTTGACAGTTGCATCCTCAGGAAGCGACAGGATGGTGGTCACCTGCCACACAAATCTGGTCTCGTTGAATGAAAGGGGTTTTACTGCTTGCCACCTCTAAGTAGACTTAAACCAGTCAACCTCAGTACGCAGGCATCTACCAGGTTATTTTAGTACCTGTTTTCAGTGGCATTCTATTCCATTCCCTTCCATGAACCACGGGCCTCCAATTACAACGGAGGGATCTTTTGAACGGACAATAATGGAAGAGGAGGTAGAGGCGCTTTCCTTCTGATCGAACAAACTGGCGAGCATTTATCCAGCACTTGAAAATGGACCTTCATGTTCATGCGGCAAGATTTGTCCTTGTCAAGGACTCCGTGTTGGCTGACGTCACTGTTTTACTGTGCTGTCTACATTCTTCGTGTTCTACATCGTGCTGTGAGCCACGCACAAGCACACAGACACAGTCGTACAACGAACAACACGAAGCGAGGGTTTGTGTGCAATAAATGCCGGCTTTTGGCGGAAACGTAGTAAGCTACATGAAATCTCCCACACCAAAATCCCAACTAACTTGGTCAAAAGTGGCATTTGTAGTTTGCGGCAAAATCTGCCAAGATCTCGTCAAACATACACACATTACAAGCCCCTGCTTTGAAGCGCCTAATTCTGACGATGTGTGAATCCAAGTAAATGCAAAATATCGTTTGAATTGATGAAAAATTTTGTTTATTGGGATTTAGTAATTCTCGTACTTGCACATAAAACCAATTTGTTTAATGAATTATTTTTCTACCAGCTAATTTTGAATTAATGAAGGTATCCTCGCAATGACCAAGTTGGCATTTTACCCAATGAAACGTCGTTGAAGTAATTTGAATGTCGACCCAGCCGCTATTTTATTGGACAGTGATGGCGTGTGGTCTTTCACTGTTCTAGTCTAGATTTTGGTTTCGGCATGGCTTTGCGGTGGGTAATCTGTATCGATTTTGCCCTCACATCAACTTCAGCTGCTGAGTAGCCAATACGCATCGAGAAAATGTCGTCCCACTTGAATGGGGTTGCGTCCTTGACTGTGGATGTTGGTCGCGAGCAGGAAAGACCACCTTTCTTCCTTTATTTGACAATCGTCGGCATCCGTGTAGTAAGAAGCGGAATGTCTTGTTTACGTCTACGCCAAACACGCGGACTGTTATTGGTGCAAAGCCGAGGGAGAGATTATTTGAATTTTCGGAAACGCGCGTTGATTAAATTTTGCGTAACTTACAGCCACTTCCAATAGAGAGCTTCTCGCGGATATTCCCAGAAAATAGTGGTGTTTTTGATTCACATAAGCCTTCATATGAATAGCCGAAACTGACAGGCAATAATCTGATTGGTTGTCAAGATTAAGGCAGCTGCGAGGTAGGGTTTTGAGGTAGGAGCGCATAAGAATGATTTTCTGGCATGAATTCAGTCACTGCTTGTATTGTGATTGGGCAATGGAAGAAGGTCACGTGACGGACTTCTGACCCCAGGAAACCTCATCAAGGTCGAAGTACAGTTTTGGCCTAAAACGACTCTCAGTGGCTTCGGAATCCAATTTTCTGCAGATTATCACATTTTTTTTTCAAAATATGTCATGCAAATTATTTAGACTTAATCAACGGTATAGGCGCGGACGCGTAATTAGGCGTTCCTTGGGTTGCAGTGGGATGTGCTTATTGAAGCTGAAGGAGCAGCCATGCGTGCTGACGGAGGTGGTGATAGCGGGAGGGGTTTGGCATTGACCCCTTTCACATCCTTCGAACGCTCACTCCCCCCTCGACATGAATACACGATCATGACGTGCGATCATGAAACATGGACTTGAAAGTCCTAATAGGGTTTAGGTGCGGTTTCGACGGCGCCTAATCAAACTTCGAAGATCGTCGACACTTCACAATTACGGTCAATTCGCAATTTCTAGCATGAAGACGCTTATGAGACCGTGTAGTAATTGTAGGAGTGGACGTGGAAGCAGGACTTCCATTGTCGCTAGATGATAACTTGCGCGTAGTTGAAATGGTTAGGGATTCATTCATCACGCGTGGAATCAGACATTAAAACCAGCTCTTCAACGATTATCAACTACGCCGTTTCAACGGAAGCGATTCGATGGTCATTTGCAGGCGATTCACATCACCCAGCGACGCAATTCACAACTCACGAAAGAGTTCATCTTTGAAGTCATTTGGACTGTTTCAACGCGTTCTCCATATATTCCTGGTCCTACATTGTCAACTTGACACATCTTCCACGTGGAATGGCATCTGTCGACGTTGGAAATCGCACTAATCGACTTCAGCGCTACTCCCGTAGATTATTGGCTAAAAGCCACCGATTACGTCGTTTGATCATGGCCATTAGCAAGTGAATCATGTCGTGTCTGCGCACACCTTCGAACTTGTTTAAAAAGTTTCGAAGCATGCCCCACACGGTCCTGGTTTCGTTCTCTCAAACTGCGTCCTATCTGCTGGCTTTAACGTGGAGTGGATGGCTGAAGATCATTCGACTTTGCAGATCGAAAGAATGGTCTTTACAACATCACAAACACAAAGCAAACGGATTTCGGACAAACTAACTTAGTTAAAAGATATCTTGCTGTTTCTAGATGACTACAAAGTAATTGAACAAGCATATGCCTGATGCTAAAATAGTAGTATCACGTGTTGGCATTGCGGACCAATGAAAACGGCTCAGTGAGTTTTTAGAGCAGAAGACCAAGGCGTCCAGCGTTTGCCAATAAAAATGCTACAGGCACAAATTCCTTTTCATGCAGGCAAAAGCGCAGTGTTAGTGGGGTAGGGGGGAGGGGTGGGGGATGCGATGGGTTAGGGCGATCCCTCAGCGCCGTGGTTTTTGTCTGAATGCGGCAAACATGTGGAGTCAGTTGGTTGGGTGGTGGAGGTGGTAGAGGAGGAGGGGGAGGTGGTGGTGATGGTGGTGGGACAATTTCCCCCTGTGAGACAGTCACGCAAACCACAAACGGGGGTAAAGAAGTGGACTAAATATTATTTTCGGGAAAACCATGGGCTGCCCAACTGGGTTCAGTGCCTGCTCGACTCATTCATTGGCTATTCACCATATTCTGGTGTCATTCATCTAAATCGTGTATCTGATATAAAACCATAACCATATCGATTCCTGTGTTTTCGGGTTTCAGAATTCCAGCTATGTCGATGTTATCAAAACTAGTTTTTCTGTAGTGAAATTTCAATGATTATTTCGCGGGTCCTTCAAAGCAGACAATTTTTTGACACCTGGATGATGCCTGAACAGGTATGTGTCGGTGGTTTAGGGTTTTCTCTAAAAAACGGCGCCATTTCTCCATGATGGTAGGAGTTGACGACAGATGACCTTGGCTGATGGCCAATCAGCATGGGATGTCCGAGAGTAATTAAGCTATGACGAGTTAGTGTAAAGGGCGAAATGTGACAATTTCGATCTAATTTTTTTTTAATAATCCATGTGTTAAATTTGGTTTCGAAATTTCCGCTTTGGAGGATTTTAAACAAAAAATGAATCCTGTTCTGGTCGAAATGCCGATTTTGACGATGGCCAAAGCAAATTCATCATTTACTTCGATAGTTTTCTCAAAATTTTTCACTATTTAACTTCTAAGTGGCCTCGACATGACTCCTGGATAATGAACCAATCAGCCTGCATCATAAATTCCTTAAACGTGGCTCTTTCCTGGTGTCCGAAATGCATTAAAACACATTATAGCAATAAAAATATTTACGCATTTTCGAGTATTTAAATATTTGCCACGTTGTGTTTTAATGCATGTGTTATATCAAACGAAATTTCGGCTAGTATAAGTAACATGAAAATTTCCATCGACCGGAACTCAACAAGGTTTCGTTGGCACGTGGAAAAACTATCAGTTTTTACTTTTAAACAGACGCAAATTTGTTTGAATTAAAACAATGCAGTTACAATATATTTTCTTCCTACCAGGAATACTTTTCTTTTGAATTAATTGGCAAGTTTGAACAGAGTAGGAATTGAGGTCCAAATAAGCAATGTACGGTATGGCGGGAACTAATTATGCTAATCGAAATTCGACACGAATCACGAGACCTTTCAAGCTACCTTTTCTCCGATTTGTTTATTAGTCTTCAACTCCGCCAGGCTAGAGCTTTGAGGGATGCCTCCCATTGGATCCAAATTCTCACGTAGCTCTAATTTTAATTAGTCAACTATAAATAGCCAGCCTTAATACCAAAGGAAATGGATGGATGTGATTGGTCAGATGTAGGAGAAGCTAAGTTTGTGAAGCTACATCGAGGATAATGATGTATCCACGTCACAATTTTGTATCTTGTACTCCTCTCGTTTGCAAGTGTTTGATGTTGTTTCCATTGGATGATTTCTAGACTGCAAACAACTAACCCGCTGCAGATGGCTATGCTTTGGAAAAGGTGTAAAATAGCCGTATTTTGAATTCCCCACGAGCTACGCTGCAATTTCAGTTGCTGGTCCAATCAAAAGAACGTTTTTCAAGGCTCACCTCAACCCACTTACCTGCTTGTCGGCGCAGAACACAATTTTGTTTGCTTATTCAAAACTCTCTGTAGCCGACAGACTTGAAACAACCTTTGTGAAGCGAATAAGAGTGATTTAAACAAATCGTTAATAGACTGAATCGTAATGCACTACCGGATTCTGTCAAACTACACTAACTGTGTGGTTGCCTAGGTAGCCGACATTAGCGTATTGAGAGGATAAATATGAGTCATCGTTTTCGTCGCACAGCCAAATCAGTCACAACCCCGCAAACGACAGGGGGCAAAATGAACGGCCTAAGGCTTGTCAACTAAGTCTCCGCAATATTAAAATGTTTTCAACGGGATAGGCATTTGTCATTTGTTCGAAATTGTTTAACTGCTGACACTCGTGGAAATCAATTGATGCTAAAGCATCGATCTAATCAATCCGAAACCGTTTTTGTTGCATGTTTTATCGATCAGGCAAAACAATCGCCGAGTTACGCTCTTGTCGACTCACACAAATCAATACTTTTATGTTGAACTGTGGTCAAACAGACAAAGTTGTAATCAGCTGACTCTCAGCCAATAAAAAATGTTCCCTGAACTGTTTCTGCATCGATTGCCAGCGCGATCAGACCAATTCCTGAAATCCGTCGTAGATCTAGGCAGTTCGAAACTTGCCGATCATCTAGTCACCTCACTCCCTGTGAGTTCAATCCACCACAACTCAGCATTCGAATAGAAGAGTTTGCCGAAATGTGGAAAGGCACTGATGCTGCATTCACTTTTCTAATTAGAAGAAGTCATTAAGCAAATCCACTTTATTTCCAATCCCAAAAAACTGCCCTTTCTCCCACCCGTTTTTCTCTTGTTTAATTGTTAAACGCAAGAGTGGCGATTCCACTGGTTTAATGCCAAGGCGGAATCACCGGCAAATTTTCATTCAAAAAACGTATTGAAACAAGTTTGTGTTGCCTTGGCAACGAAAGGAATTGCCTTTGAACAGTTGATGATGATGATGATGATGATGATGATGATGATGATGATGATGGCGATGATGATGATAGAAGATTTGAATTGCGTGACCTCTAACACCATGTTTTCATTTGCCCCTGAAAGGCGTAACAAAATTCTTTGAGTCGACCAAATGTTTGCGCCGCCTTCCGCCTACCACTCAAACTCGACATTTGCGAAAAAAGCAAGTGGGTGACTTAGATGGTTCTGCGCTGGTGGGTTTTTTTCAAAAGAGTTTGGGGAAATTTATTTTCAGCGGGATTCCCCCCTCGCGTATACGAGTAAAGTTACTTGGTATTGCCTAATCCTGAAGGGAAAAATTGTGTTGCCGACACTGTCGACTGACTAACCAATGAGACATGATTCCAAATTCTATAATATCGATCACCCTCTATATTTGCAGAAAGTTTTGAGGGTAGTACTTGAAGGTCAACATTGAATTGACGCTGTTTCGTTGAAAGATTGTTTGAACAAGTGTCGAAGTGCCTGGATTTCGTTGTCAAGTTTAAATTATCCAGCCACTTTAATCGATAAATCCGAAGAATCGATGACGATCAGCTATTGGCTAAATCAGTACGTCCACAAATTATCATCGGTCATGTTTCATGAAGCTCATTTGAAAGGCGAGTTATTTACAACTACATTCTAACTTGCTAAATTAAAATATGCTTACTTGCATTGAATGCCTTAATTCTAGTCAGAATTTGCCGCAATAACATGGCATTACATCTCACTACACACAATTTAATTCGTTACTTTTTCAATTTTTTTGCTTCGACTGGATTTCCATGCGACTAACCAATACAAATTTTTGATTTCGGTCGCTCACATTCAGAAGACTAGTAGGTTAGTGATTGGTCAGCTTAATGACTTGAAGCACTTTGGGATTTAATGCTCACTTTTTTAACGGCTAGCAAAAAATAGAAATACAAATAATGAAACCGTGACAAACACAGTTATCGGTATTTAACCAGCTCATTGGCGCTCTTTAGGACAATGAGAGCCCTTAAATTCGCCAAAACACAAATTGTAATTCGTTTTTCGCAACTAACCGAAGCAAAACTTTCCTATGAGTTGTCGTGGCTTGACCTACCGCCGTGCCATGAACAACAAAAGCCAATTAAATTCAGGCGGTAAAGTTCAAACAGATCATTAAAGCGGTGGTTTTAATAACGTAACGAAAAGTGTGTAAAGGGACTGCAAAATTTCGCCACAGTTCATTTGGGCGATTGTGATGAACGTATGGTGGTGAAACCTCTTGGCTTACGTCCAATCAAATAATTTTGCTTTCATGTTCAGCAGAGTTTGCTGCTGATTGAATCTGATTGGACATGACACGTGTGGTGCCTGCTAGGCCGTAATTTGAACTACTAATCAATAACGTGATCAAAAGAGCCACGAGCACACTCTGGTAAAGTGAACTCGATTCTAGCTTGAAATGAAACGCGAAGAAATGGGCAAAAGATTTTCGGCGGAGCAGTTGTGTGCGGACTGGTCGTCAGCAAGGACAAAAAACACAGCAGCCAGGTCTTTAATTAGGCGGGGAGAAAAGGTGCGCGGATTTTCCGACGCCAGACACACCTATTTGTTTCCGCCGCCTCATATCGCGGCGTCGTCAAACAATGGGCAGTTCCTTTTCCGGATGGGTCCGCGGTGATTTGAACATCATGAAGTGTTGGTGCTTTTAACTAACCGGAAACACGCAGTAAATAATGAGGCGTTGCTATTTCCGAAGCGTTGAATATCAAGACTAGGAGTTGCACGAAGCGCGCCACGTTTCAGCTTTCCGCATGATTCACACAATTATGCGTTTTTATTACACGCTTGTCGCCATTTCGACTGTGTTCCACAAGGGGAAACGTGCGTTTTTAGGGGAACTCGGAATCGAAGCTTATCGACACCTCAAAATTATTGTTGATTGGCTATTCCTTAAATACTGACGCTGGAAAACATGAGGATGTTTAGGGATGACGAACTCAATGATTCTACAGATCTCCAAATTGACCAACTTGGCATTCTCATTTCTCCGTGAACTCCGCTCACGGACACAGCAAGAATTGATCTCAAGTTAGACCACTTGATTTCATTTCCACGTCTTAAATATTGATTTGCACTTTATCGATTTATGAGACACACGCTGGTCACTAAATGAATTCGCCTCACTTATTGATTTTCCACAACCGAACAGCAACAGTCTGATCCCACAATTTTGGAATCCGCTGGTGATTTGGTGAGAAGAAATGTTCTACCTGATTGCCCTTTTTCCAGGCATCGAAAACATGCCTGCGGTGATGAAACTGATCTACACCACCGCGTAACACGATCTCTTAAGGGGGTGTAGGCTTCCTTAATATCAGCGATATTTTTTTCTCATCAAGGCGTTTGGAGATATCTTGGTGCGTTCGAAGTGCTGGTCAGCCAGGCCTATCTGAACCAGCCATGATGCCTAGCACCCTCGCAATCAAACGTCGTCCCTATCCTTTCGTGTGATTTCGGAAACGTGTGTATTCTTTATGCATTCACTTAATGCGCAGTAAAATAACCACAATTTGTGAAGCCTTGGATACGTATGTTTGCAGTGTGAGGTCAATATTTGCCAAGTTTGCGTATAATTACAAGTTTTGTTTAAGTCTGTGACGAGTCTTACTCACCCTTACCCATTCAAAGTAACCTCAACTCATTCAAATAACGATTGGCTGTGTACCTGTGGATTAATCAATCCTTCAATTTGGGCTAGAACGCTGTCGACAGACTTTAATGAATTTTCGCGTTTAGCCAAAATGTCATGAGACTTGTGTTTCTGATTTGAAGGACGTGACACAGGGACAGACATATTGGGGTAACTTGCTCTAGGTTATAGGATGAAGAGAGGAACACCTGTGCAGTTTTGCTGGAGAACAATCGCGGTGGCAGATGCCCTACACCCCATCAAATTGAGCTTGATTAAATGCGTAAGCGTCGATGTGTATTTTTAGCGATTGGGTTACCACGACTTTCTCAGCCTCATTCAGATTCTTGATGTAAAATTTAAGGAAACCATTTCAGGAAAATCCCTGATTTCTAACAGTTGAAATATGTTTGTTAAAATAACCGACTGATGAATCCACAAAGAAAGGGAGTTGGATTTAATGTACTATTTCGTTTAAAAACAGTCATCTAAGCATTTTTGACTCAATGGGATTCTATTGGCTGCTTATTTTGTTTTAAAAACTCTTTTGATATGTGTCTAACGTGATTCGTCTAGATTCACATTTTGAAAAGGTAACTACTGTCAAAATTAAAACTCAATTTGCGGTAGATCACGAGGACAATGGCATATTGATCAGGATTTTTTGGAAATTGTGGAAGGTCACCACAACCACCACCACCTCCATGAGCAAATTTGTGCTGTAACTAATAGTAACTGTGGAATTTAACCTTGCACACACATACACACACACACTAATCAGTCCGCTGATGCAGTGACAAACGCTTCAGGCGTACTTTCAACACACACGCGCAAGTTGTGGTGCTTTGTGTGAACGACTTTAAAGAGTGTGTGTGTGTGTGTGTGTGTGTGTGTGCGTGGACCATTGCATTAGGGATATTCCCGTCGTTTGGGAATCACACGCTATGATATTATCTGCCATCCACGCATGTTGCTTTCTCACATGGCATACTGGAAAAGGGACACTCACGTACACACACAATCAAGAACTTACAGTCGAAAAAAAAGCAATTACCTTACTCGAAAATTAAGCTACCTAGACATTGCTACGTGCGAGGCAAGGCTTCTCGCCATTGGTTAAAAGGTTGCCTTTGCATGGATGCTTCTAAAGCCGGTATCTTGACATTTGACGATTTCAAGTCGCAAATCGGGCGCCGGGAAGAAAACGGGGAAGGCATGAAAAGAAGGAATTGAAGGGGGTGTGCTTGGAAAAAAGGAAAATCAGACGTGTATTGTATGTGATGGTGGAATGGCGCCTTGTCAATTGCGTCTGCCTCGATCGGCATTTTTTCGACCAATCAAATTCGGACTGTGGAATTTCGCTGCTTGGAGGAAGTTCCGTGTCATGGCCGATTTTCGTTTCACCCGAAGCGTCTGTACATTGACGAGGTTCATTTCCGTTGTTTAAGAAAGATACGTATGCTAGAAACGCTTGACTCACACATGTGCACTTAACATTTGGCTGGATCAGCTTCGATGATGACATTAAAACGTAGGGGCTCGATAATCGAATGGTCAGGTAGATTAACCAATGGCTAGAAGGGACTACTCGATTTGACACATTCGTCGATGGACTTTGTCTAGATGCCCTGATAGGTTCGTTGGAATTCGATGATTCATGTTGGACACATTAAGCGACATCCCATCACGCCTGCTTTCAGGGTTCACGAGGAGAGAAGTAGGCCTTTTTCCAACCTGGACACATATTCATGGGAGTTCACATCACATCGAATTTTGGTGTCAAGTGAAAACTGATATGGAAGCCATGTTACTGCACTCCGCAACTTGTTCGCTTGTCTTCACACGCCGTTCAACTGTAGGTCGCGATGCATAAATGGTTCGTTCGTTCAGCACAAAACCTGTGTGTAAATCGATGGCACTTCCACTTTTCATCGATTTAATTTAGTTGGGACCACTTTCAACGTTGTTCAGCCCAACGCCCTTGTGGAATTCGAGGCTTCCACTATGCAATCGCTTGGAAGAGGTCGATTTTATTGATTTGAAGTTGTTGAAACAAACGACGACCATTTATAATATCGATTTGTTAACTAGAGTGGGCAGAACCTGGGTAACTAATTGCCTTGTTATCTCGCGGAAACTCGTTGAGTGAAGCTGGCATGTCAGTTATTGAGGCTAAATCCTATTGGCTAGCTGTTTTAGCGATTCTTAATTAAAATTCCTACTTTGTTCCAACTCATAAACAACTTAACAGACGTCCTAGTGCTGCACCGTCTACGAAAGTCTCCAGGTGACTGTTTATCTGTTTACGTGTCCTGCGTTGTTTTAAGCAATTTGAAAACGCGGCAGCTGCTACCGTGGGCTAATCGCGCGTTTTTCACTGCAGCTGTGTGCACATGGGTCAAATGTTTTAATTGTCCGAATTCCCTGGGTCGACATATGGCAGCGGTAATAAAAATAGGGCCAGATGATGATTCTGAGTGAACAGAACAAATGCGCCACTTTTTGTTGCGTCGAAACTTCCGGAAATTTCGATCGATTCGCTTGTCTACTTCCAAAATACCAAAATCCCAACTGTAGTGCAGGTAACTTTAATTTGATATCAGCGCTCTCTGCATTAACTTAGCTCATTGGGAATTATCGATCGCCATGCCAAGAGGCCTGAACATGCTGAGTAAATCTCATTGGTCGTCTTAAAAATCTCATCAATTACACTCGTGCAGTTGATTGGACAAAAAATCAAGGCCATGTGAACGCATTGCTAAGACTCTTATGAGGGTTCTCAATGATGCTAATAGATACTGCACTACACCAATTGTCTGCCAGTCTTTGTTATTTTTCTGCAGACGTTTCAAGGTGAGCCAATGAGGTTAACGCTTTAAAAGGTGACCAACTGCTCCACTGAATTGGGTCATCTTCAAGTCAAGCATGTACCGACTTGTTTCAAGGATACATACGTGCCTACATTACTCATCCTCTTCCAATGCCATATTTGGAAACTTGTGTGTCCTGGTCTGTAAGGCCGTCGTGATAGATCTAAATAAAGCCGTGCACGTCAGCAATTTGTTTATTAAAACCGGTTGCGTGCTACGAATATCGCACGTGGATGACACCAGTGCCAAAATCGTGTGCGGAAACCGCTGCATGATTACGTCTTTTTTGGATAATTTGAGCAAATTAATTGCCTTACTGGCCAATAACCGCCATCACAACTCACACACACTAACCCCAGATCCTTATCGCTTCCCTCGCGTTTTCTGCATTCAAGTAAATGACACGGATGGCCTATCATTAGCCTGATCGTTCGAAGACCAGTAATAGCGGACGCTGTGCTAGATCGATGTGTTGTGCATGCGCGACGAATGAGACAGCTTCCCACCTCGTTGAGTGGTGATTTTGTTCAGGGGATGGCGAAATTCCGATTGCAGAACATCATTCAAACGAAGCATTTAAGACGTAGGGGCAAATACGACAAACGTATCTGCTTTCACACTGTCCACGACGCGACGTGCGCTGAAGTGGGCGGGTGGTTATGAGTTGGAGGGGGTGGGGGTGACGAGTATTGACGCAGATGACACTTGGAAACACGGAGACGTGTCACATATTGTTACTCTTCTTCACCAACACGACTTTATCTCGCGGGCCGAGTAAAAGCCCCCTCCGCCGCGTAGACAACGCTGTGGCACGGTAGTTGTTCAACGCAAGTGACACCAATTCGTTTTTTTGTAAACTTGTGGAGAACAAGTTGTGGTCGTTTGAGGGGCTCCTGGCAGGACTCGAACACACGACCAGTAGTTGCTTCAGGCTAGCCCTAAGCAACAACACCCGCGGGCATTCAATCTGTGCTTTGTAGGTTAACGAGACTACTGGAATTTAAATTTTTCTACAAATATGAACGCATAAATACGCATTTTCGTTGAACTGATGTCAGGACTAATAAATGTCGCGTTCCCCGCAATGGCTGTAAGGGGCTAAATTAGCGATCAGGTAGAATCGTCCCTCTCCTCCTGACTGCACACACTAATCCGCCGCTTATCGGATTAGGTAGACAAGAGAGTTCAGCCGTACCATGTCAAATGCATTAATCACTTCACCTAGAAACTGTGTGAAGTTGAATCCAGTCAAGCGTGAAATGACTAGCGTTGGCTGTACCAGATGTGTTAGTTTGCCTTCAGTGAACAGAACCCATTCAACCAATGACCTCGCAGACCTACCAATCGGTTTTTAGGGCTCTTGGTGGAATGAAATACCACCCAAGTGTCCATCTAAGCATGCTGCTCCTAACGGAACGCCGCAGATATCATAGAATTTTATCGGCGTGTTCAACTGAAGGCGCGAGGATATCTACAATGTGTCTAGGTCATGCAGGACACGTCTGTGCTTGCGAAAACAACGTTAATGTAGGGGGTCCACCCCACCCACCACGAGGGACCGTTCGTGAGGCCCATGCCCTAGTTTCCCAGCCGGCGGTAAGCCATGGGCTGGACAGGCGTGCGTGAGATGGGCGTTCGGAACTGACCAATCAGAGGCACGCTGGCACGTACGTGCGCACCAGCGCGTGCACGCGTAGTCTGATAATGACAAGAACGACACCACTTAGTCATTTGGACCACTCTTCTGCGTGTGCTTGTGTCGTCGGGCCCAAGACCGTGTCATGGGATTTGCGGTGTGCCTGATTCTCACGCTACTTGCTGTTGGAGTAAATTATGCCCACAAACGGAGCGAGATTGTGATGAATGCTTCGGAGGGGATTGAGGTCGGCTCCACAATTGGAACGCTCGCTAAGCATAGCGGTGGGCGGGAAACCTCGTATCTCGAAACAGTCAAAAAAGACTCACTGTTCAACATTGATCGAGACGGAAAAGTGGTTGTCGCGAAACCAATTGACCTAGAAGTGCTGTGTCAGGAGAGTGGAGTCTGTTGCTCGTTCCCGCAACCCTGCCAGTTGTTGTACACCATTATGGTGGAGGATACGAGATCTGGCGAAATGGGAGAGATCGACCTGCGGATTCGTATCAAAGACGTCAACGATCACGCCCCTCGTTTCCGCCAGCCCAACGGGCAGGTTGTCCAGATCTCGGAAAATGCACCCATCGGAACCTTCATCGACCTTGATCCTGCAGTCGACGGGGACTGGTCTTTGGAGAACCAGATCCAGCGGTACACCCTCTACGGGGCAGACATTCAGCAATACTTTGAAATTGACAATTCAGACCTCCCGTCAGTGAGATTAAAATTGCGGGAGCAGTTGGATTACGAAAAACAGTCCGCCTTCAAGGGTTCACTTGAAGCCTGTGATCGGCACAATTGCACCTCTGCTCCTCTGACAGTTAATGTCATCGATGTTAATGACAACCTTCCTTTCTTCCACCCTCCACTGGAACATAATCTAACCCTTTCAGAAGATACTCCAATTGGTGAGGTGATTTTGCGTCTCAACGCTACTGACTACGATTCCCCAGTCAACGCTCGAATGCGCTTCGAGTTTGTGAACACCAAGAGTCTTTCTCTTCCTGACAATTTCCATCTGAACCCAGACACGGGCGCTATTTCATTGGCACGTCGACTTCAAGCTGACGTCCGCTCGAACTACCACTTCAAGGTCCGTGTCAAGGAGATTTCTGATTCAACTCCTATTAAGTCATTTGAACAGAGCTTAGTATTCAACGACCTACATCGGCAGGATACGGTTAGTGTAAACGTCCACGTGGAGGACGTCAACGACTTCGCACCTGACATTCGAATGATTGATCCGCCTAAAGGCGTCGAAGTTAGGGTTCCGGAAAACTCATTGCCTTCGCGGATCGCCGTCTTGCAGGTGGAGGACAGGGATCTGGGCGACAACGGGCGTTTCACTTGTCATCTGGATGGTAACAACGTTGGTGACAGTTTCAGTTTGCGTCAGTTCTCGCCCAATACCTACTTCCTCCACACCGAGCGCAGTTTCGACGCCGAGGTGGAGCCATTTCTCCACGTCAACATCACCTGCACCGACAAAGGCACTCCCGAACCCAAAACAACCAAACGGAAGATCGCTGTGCGCATCGAGGACAGGAATGAATTCAAACCCGTCTTCACTAAGAAGGAGTACACAGCTAAGATAACGGAGAATCCCCCCAACAACACGTTTGTCCTGCAGGTACGTGTCTCGCGATTGTGTTATTTCCTGTGTGTGTGTAGTGTGAGGCGTGCGATTAATCACTCGCTATGATAAATGACACCGACCGCACCAGGCGTATCTGTTTCCGTGTCTGCAAGATTGGCGCTTATCGGGTGACCGGACTTGCCTGCAGCAGGAAACCAGTTAGTCCCCAAACGCGTTTTCACTGCCGCCTTAGATTTGGGCTAATTTATGCATCTTAGTTAATTACAACCGCTCAAATTAGCGGCATCTATAATTAGCGTCGTTTTCAGTGTTCAAAGAAATTTCATTTGTAAATATCTACAAAGTAATCCCCATTCATTTGGTATCACTGCATTCAAAACTCAGGCAAACTGCTGATTCTTCCTGTAGAATTAAAAGTGGTTTCATGGCTGTGTATTCTTCTGGTCCAGTTGTGGGTGCGGTAGTTATTTCTAGTCAAATTCTTCAATTTTTCCTCGCAAATTCCGATGCTATGCGGTCTCACGATATCGCGTTAGCGAGCAAGATTTGTTCGGCTAAACGATGTTGAGTCAATCAAGCCGTGTGCGCAACAGTGTCCGGCTTTTGTGGTTTCGTTTTGACTTCAACGCTTCGGGGTAGAGACATCACGTGACCTCCCATCAAGCTTGCGGACTCGGTTCGCGAGGTGACAACCAGCTTCCGCCGATGTGTGAGTAATCACTCGGGCTGTTTTGGTGCCAATCATTGTTCTTCGTGTCCACGTCCCCCCTGCAGTTACATCTCGTGATGAGCTGGAACTGTTTCCAATCTGAGCACATGTCCACTGGAGATGAGATGGCAGGACACCGGATTTTGGTGTCGAGTGGAAGGTGATACAGAAACCACATCACTTCACTCCACAACTTGTTTCCTTCTCTCCACACACCGTTCAACTGTAGGTCGCGATGTGTGTGGATGTGACGCTAAGCCTTGAATGGTTTGGCAGTTCAGCTTAAGGTCCATGTGGAATTCGATGAATTTTCGAAAGTGTGATCACTCGATTTCACCGTTTTGAAGTGGTTGATGTCAACGGTGACCATTTTGGATGTTGAGTTGTGAACCAGATTGTACAGGTTTAGCTAAACCAGTTGTTTGGTGTCCCGTAGTAACACCGAAATCGATTAGCCTCTACTTTTCATTTCCTCACAATGGCAAACTTTCCCCCTGGAATTTTCGTGAAGGTGTCCACCTGAAGGTTTTTAATCATCTTTTTTCACCAACGAACGAGCATTCATCCACTGGAAGTATTCAAGACATTTCAGTTACAATTTGCCAGATTTTTGTTTTCGAAAAAAAGTCTCATTTTTCATATTTTTGAGTCAACAGTTAAAGGGAACAATTAATTGAGACTTTCGATTGGTGTAAATCAATGGCTAGAAGTTTCCAGCTTACCACGTCTATTCACTGAGTCTGGTTAGCTAAATAGAGAGTAAAAAACCTGTTCCATTTCAAGCAATTCCTTTGTCTTGAAAACAGACGCGGGTAACGTAAAAAACGAAAGCATGAGCCTTTTGTGGGCCCCAGCATGTGTTCTTGAACCACGCCGGGGCCACGGAATTAACTCTGACCCGATTACGCTTCCCTGATACCTGCGATGAACGAAAAGATCAGAGAGGACGTGGACACAACCGTTTACTTCGGAGCTCAACCACGTCGGTGTCAGGGTGTCGCGGGTGGCATTTGGCACACACATTTATACCTCAGATGAGTGAGTCATACATGCGCTAACATCGAGACCTGGGTGTGAGGATACTCCAAGATAAACGTGCTAATGAAGGAAGAATTGAGGATAAGCGCGGCTGGCGACATGCTGCGACAAGGGGAACCCTGTGTAGGAGTTGGAACGACCGGATTAAGGGGAAGAATAAGCAGGATTCACGACAAGCCTTTCAAACCGTAAACAAAAGAATTTTCAAAACTTTACCTCATATCTTTTTCGGGCCCACACTGCAGGATCTCCTATTTGTCAACCAATCATCTGTCAGGCGGCAATCGATTGGTGCAAATCAATACCGCTAATTACAAAGCTACCAATGAGTAAATGGTGTGCAGAAAACGGGGTAAAGTGCCACTGCATGCCGCAGTCTGAATAGGTTCTAGTAAATGAAACACGAAACCGGCCAGGAGTGACTTTCGTTGCTTGTATGTACGCAAAAATTGAGAACACAAGTGACGGTCTGTCGAACTAATCAAACGCTAACGAAGGCCGTTGATACACGTAGCAACTGCGTAATTTACTTGACAGTTTGTTCAACTTTTGGCCAAATAACGATGAAGACCGGGAACAGCACGACCTGGAGAAATTGTGATGCTTGGCATCATGTAAGTTAATTTGAAAACTAGACATAAAAATGTAGCCAACAAGAGCATCGATTACAAGTATGCTTTTACGCAGCCTCAAAACCCGTTTTTCACTGTACCCAATGAAGTAGGTCCACATGCTCGCATATCAGTCATGGCTTATCTGGTGCATATTTTAACCCTTTAAACAAACAAAAAAGAGCATTTGTAAAAAGTGGATTGCTTCCGTATCACTTATGACAACCCCTAAGTTGTGTGCCAAATTCAACGCAAAACTCAACAGTTGAAAAAGTAAGCCTTTGAAAATGCAACTATACGTTGGCGTTCACGTCGTCGTAATGTGTTATTTTATTTAAAAAAAGGCCAATGACAGTCAGTTTCGTCTCCGAACTGTAAATAGCATGGCATCTATCACCAACCCGCATACTTTTTTCTCGTGATTTCGGATTGATGGGAATTAACAAAGCAGCGACGACAGGTGACATTGTGAAGTAAGCTTTCTGACGAATTCCTGCAAAATAAAAAAATTGAACTTGCACAACCTGTTCTCTTATTTGCCGATCTTTATAGGCCAATGCGTTTTTTTATGAGAAGGCTGCATGTTGAATCCAAATTCCACTCCGTTTCTAATATGCGTTGCTTCAAATGCGTTCCACCAACCGCGGTGCCATTAATTACAAAATTAAGCCCACATCTGCCGTCACCTGAACCGACAAGAATGACTCAAGTGCTGTCAGCATCTTATCCATCTTGATTAGTTTTCTTGCATGAAAAGTGTCCACAATTCTTGAAATGTTTGCGAACGCATTCACGCAACGAACCGTTGGTAGCTGAGGTCACACATGTTCACACGTGTTCGCGATGCGTCAAGTAAATGTGCACCAACAAATAACATTGGCTGAATGTTGGTTTGAGCCC